TTTCTTTGTTTAACTTAATAGGATAGAGACAGAGTCTCCCATCAGCTGATTCATTTTCCAGATGCCCCCAAACAGCTAAGGTGGAGGCAGGCCAAAGCCAGGAGTGTGGAGCTGAAGCCATGTGGTTGGTGGGGATCCAGATACTTGATCCTTCACCTGCTGACCCCCAGGATCTGCATTAGCAAGAAGCTGGAATTGGGAATTGGAGCAAGCACTCTAACTCAGGTATTCTGATATGGGACACAGGCATCTTAACCCACAGGCCAAACAACTGTTTCATGACCTTGGTATTTTTGAAGGGCGTGAGCCAATTGCTTTGGAGAATGTTCCTCTATTTGAGTTTGTCTGTTCCTCATGATTAATTTCTGCATTTTTGGCAGAAATAGTTTATAACTGAGATAGTCACATGGGAGGGCACAGGAGATCCAACAGGGGTCCTTGGTGTTGGTGTAATGTTGATCACTTGATTCAGATGGGGTCCCCCATTTTTATCCACTGTAACTGAATAAGTAATAATCAATTAATAAGGTTTGAAATGGTGTGCATAACCTGTTCCATGACAAAGTTTCACCAAATGATTTCTTTCCAAAACTTATTTTTTAAAATGTTAATTTATTTTCATCTATTTGAAAGGGAGATAGAGAGAGAGAGAGAGAGAAAGAATATCTTCCTTCTTCTGCTTCACTCCCTAAATACCAACACAGCCAGGCCTGGGCAGGCAGAAGCCAGGAGTCCAGAGCTCCATCTAGGTCTCCCACCTGGGTGGCAGGAGCCCAGTGGCACTTGGGCCATTTTCCTCTGCCTTCTCAGGCACATACCAGGGAGCTGGAAGAGGCAGAGCAGCCGGGACTTGAACCAGCATTCCAAACAGCACTTTAACTGTCAATGCCACAATGCTCACCCCTCATCCAATTATTTTAGCATCGACCAGTGATTCTTTCCAGCATGAATTCTATGATAGCTGCAAAATGGTAATTTTTCAAAATGATTTCCTTCTTCACTTATTAGCATTCTTTTGTAAAGAGCTTTCTCTTTTCCTTCCTTATCTCTGTTATTTACTTAACTAATTTATTTCTTAGTACCTGTATGAAGTCATGCATTCTTCTGTATCCAAAGTATTCCTGTCATTACTAATTTTGATCTTGCCACCTAATTTGACTAAGCTAGTTCCTTATTATGTACCTATTCTGGTGGCTTTTGTGGTCAGAGATATTCCATAGCCAAACCTTGTAAGGGCCCCTTCTTGCCTCATAAAATCTTGACTCACTGAACAGGACTGGCCTGTCTCTTTCTTCCCTTCTGATGTTCCTTCTGCAAGGAAGGTCTGTGGGCAGCCCCTCCACTTTTTGTCTCTGGTCTTGGTTGAGTTATCACTTTCTGGTTCCTTCCTTACTTGGCTTAGAACACTCCCTCTGAAGCTGCTACCCTAAGCACGTGGCCCACCCCTGACACCTACCCTCCTCATTCCTTCCCGTTGACCTGAGCCCTCTGCCATGCTGTTCTCCTCAAACACTTAGCAAAGTCCCTGAGTCCTAGCAGGTACTTAGTGAACATTTGTTTAAGCAAGCTGCAAATAATTCTTAATAATCAGAAATATATTTTGTAGTAGTGTGGCTAAATCACAAATGAACTTGTTAGGGGGCTGGTGTTGTGGCGCAGCAGGTTAAAGCCCTGGCATGAAGCGCTGGCATCCCATATGGGCACCGGTTCTAGTCCCAGCTGCTCCACTTCTGATCCAGCTCTCTGCTATGGCCTGGGAAAGCAGTAGAAGATGGCCCAAGTCCTTGGGCCCCTGCAGCTACATGGGAGACCCAGAAGCTGTTCCTGGCTCCTGGTTTTGGATTGGCTCAGCTCTGGCTGTTGCGGCCATCTGGGGAACCTCTTTCTCTGTCTCTACCTCTCTCTGTAACTCTTTTCTTTCAAACAAATAAAATATATCTTAAAAAAAACTAAATGAACTTGTTAAGATACAGGGAGTCTACAGTGATAATAAACACAATGGAGAAAAGAGTTTATTTTTCACAGAAAATTTTAGGAGAATAAAAGGATATTTTTAGATACCATTTTGAAACTTAGGCCTTTTCTATGGGAATAATGTCTTGCTTTACTCATTGCTTAACTCTGTTTTCATCAAGTTGGTGCTATGTAACAAACCCATGTGGTGTCTGAGGTTTGCTAAGCTATCTCTGCTCTTCAGGAGCTATTTGGTTGGAGTGACGTGTCAGTTGAAAATTTTAATACAGTGTGATGCAGCTTTCATAGAGCTATGAATGCAGTGCTAAGAGGACCCAAGAGGGAAACCCAACTATCTATGGTGGAAGGGAGGGAACTTCCCACCCTGCCAACGCAACTGCAGGCAGGACTCGAAATTCAATACTTCTTACAGCAGGCTAATTTTTAAGCTGATAATTATGTATGGCCTGCAGATGATGTTATAAATATCCAAATGACTCTTGGCAGAAAAAAGGTTCCCCACCTCCACCCTACGAGGAAAAGGTTGAAATCGTTGACATTTTAAGTGTAGCTCACAAAAGAAGACAGATTTTACCAGAAGCCGATGGCACCCTTTGGCACCTGAAAGTGTCCGGGACTCCAACAAAGTCCCATGCTAACTTCTGCAGCAGTGAAGCCTCTGGGAAGCTGGTGGTCCTCCATTTTGTTCCTTGTCACACTTGGCACAGAATAGAAGCTGTTGCTCTGCCTGTCAGAAGACCGTACAGTCTAGGGCATAAATCTGATAAGTCTGAATCAATGTAGATGCAGCAACTCATGCAGTGACTTAAAAAATAAAAGTTGGATAAGTGACTGTGATTGAAAGGTGAGGCTGTCTGAGGGGCAGGAGAGAAAGCTAAGGTAATGGGCTGAAGACAGGCTAGGACTAGAGTGTGAACGCTGTTCTTCCTATGCAACACACAACAGGGAGCCACTGAGAAAGGAAGATGGCAATGAGCATTTTTAAGGTGTCTCACCATGGTGACTGATATACTGTAGGATGGCACAGTCTGAATTCTATTAAAAAGGTGAGAAGTAACAGCAAGCAACAACCCCAACAGGGGGTGAGAAGGAAGAAGTTTAGGTAGGACTGACAGAATTTGTACCTGCTTGACATGAGAACTGAGAAGTGAGAGGGTATCTTACTATGGTTGAGAAATTCATATTAAATTTTTTTTTAAATTGACCTTTGTGGTTTTTGTATCAAGTTAGAAAAGTGTGTATTTTATATCACAGTATCAGACCCCCAAGATGAAAATGGGTATTTTTCAAATGCGTATTTCTTTTTTAAAAAATCAGAGGAACAAGGAAAAAAAAAACCCCAGGGTTATTGTGGATCACAGTATGAATAGGAAGTAAGAGACATTTCGATATTCTCACGTAATTTGGGTCATTACTTTCTTTTCTAATTTGGGAACTTAATCTGCATAGCAGAATGTCTGTTAGAGCAGCACAGTCCCAAACAAACAAAAAAAATGAAGTTAAATTTATCAGTTTGGGGACAGAATTCCTATTCTTTGAAAGCGACAACCACACCATCAGGCCTAGGAAAGATTTCATGGATGAGGAAGAGCGTGATTCTTCCTTTGAAGGTTACATATGAAGGTAAACACAAGGTGCTACAACCAACATATTGAACAAGTTGTCTTGGAAAGCAAGTTTTAATTTAAAAAAAAAGTTTGTATGATTTCAATAGTAGAGGAAACCTGTCTTAAGTGGTTATTAAGTTCAAAAACACTGCTGTATATATTTAACTTGCAGATTTTCTTAAAATGTGTCAAGGTATCACTAAGATGGCACCCAACACCGGTGGCAATACACCATCTACTCAATACAAGGGAGTCCAAGTTGCTTTCCTCCAAAATGGGGAATTGTCAGCATTGAATACCGTGGGGTAGGGACAAATGAGCAACACAGGTAGATACATAATAACCACGGATAATCACAATGGAGAAGAGCCTTTTCAATCCGGGTAAAAAAAAGCTGGAATTCCTTTATATGTATATATACACTCAGGAATACAGGAAACCAAAGAGCAAGCTTTTAAAAAGGCAACATAGTTCCCCCCCAACACCATGAAATTGATGGGGTGTGTGTGGGGAGGTAACCTTTCTTGTGTTGTGACACATTTCGCAAGGGAGTCCCGGGTCGTCCGGTTCTTACTAGGTAACTGCAGCGAAATGTAATGGACCCCGCTGAGGAGCCCCTGAGCGCACCATCACTTGCTGGTAACTTGGAACCATAAACCCCACTGAGGGGGCACGGGTTCTGCATCCGTGCCCGCCAGCGCTTCAGGGACCCAGGGCCTCCAAAGGGGTCTTGGGTGTCCCGGGATGGGTCAGAAGCGGGGGCCGCCACCCAGGACGAAGGGAGAGGCGCACAGGGGCTAGCAATCGTGGTCTCTGGCGGCCCGGGCAGGGGAGCCACAGCTGTCCCTGGACGTCTGGGAGGAGTAGGGGTAGCGGTGCGGGGGAACATCTTCAGGGCTGCAGCCGCCGTCCCAGTGGGCGGCGCAGAGGTTGCGATCCTGGGCAGGACTGAGTGTCGGGGGGCGCAGATCCGGTAGGGTTGCCAGACAGAAGTCGCTGCCGCCCAGTGCGGGCCCAGCTGTCCGTAATAAACGGGTATGGTTGCGGGAGGCCCAGATCCGGTCTCTTGGAAACCAAGGTCCGGGACAGCCTCCAACGCCAGACGATCAAGCTGAGGGACCAACCCCAGGGACAACAGTGCCGGGCGTGCAGGCATGCGGGCGTGCGTGGGCCAGAGCCTTCGGTGTGCGTGGGGCGTGGTGTGGCGGCGTGCGCGCACGCGCCAATCACAGGTGCCGCCAGAAGAGTGAGAGCGGAGAGGCCGGGGAAGCGGAGGGGCGGGCCGGGTTCCTAATCCACCCAATCAGGATGCCGCTCCGTCAAGACGTGAGGCTCTCCCGGGCCCCGATCGCCAGTCGGCGGGCCCGGCGGGTGAGTGCGCGAGGGCAGGGCGCGGGGGCGCGCGGGGGTGGGACTTCCTCAGGGCCCCGGAAGTGGGAGCTGTGTGTTCTCATGCGAACGGGAAGGAGCGTTGGGGATCCGGAGTCTCGAGGCTGAGACATTTTCGGGCCCGAAAGGGGAAGAATCCGCTGCCGCCGCCGCAGCCAGCCCGCGCCCGCCCTTCGTCCCTGCGTCCGGCCCGGCCCGGCCGCGCCGCCTCTTCCTGCCGTCTCCCTCCTCGGCTGTCCCCGCGTGTTGCGCGGTCGCCGGGCACCGGGGCTGCGGCGAGGAGCCCGCGGGCGGCCGGTCGGGCGGGGCGGGCGGCGCTGACAGGTGAGCGGGCCTCCCATGGCCACTGGCGAAGCGGCCCAGCTCCCCAGCTTGCGCTCGGACCCGCGCCCGCGCCCGCCTGTCACTGGGCCGCCATCTTCCCGGAGGGACGCGGCCCGCGGCTGGCAGGGCAGGGCCCGGCCGAGGAGGGGAGGACTCGTGTAGGGTCAGGGCCGGGGTCAGGGAGGACGGCGGCCGGTGTCTGGGAGAACCGAGCAGGGCCAGGTCAGGGGAGGGCCAGGGCCTGGGAGGACCAGGGCAGGGCCGGGACCAGGAAGGACCAACGAGACCAGGGCTGGGGTCGGGCAGCACCAGCAGGGCCGAGGCCGGGGAAGAGTTGGCAAGGCCGGAGTTGGAAAGGAATCAATGGAGCCGGAGCCAGGCCAGGCCAAAAGCCCGGCTAGGGCCGGGGTCTGGGCCGGGCAGGGGTCGCTTCCGGGGGCGAGCCCGTTTGGCCTGGCCGGTTCGCTAGTGCAGCCCGAGGAGAAGGGGCTAGGGTCGCGGGCCGCGAGCGCCTCCAGGTCGGGCCAGCCGCGGGGACCCGCAGTGCGGCGGCGGGCCTCGCCCCCTTTGGTCTCGCCGGAGCCCAGGCCGAGCGGCTGCGCTGCTGTCCGGGCAGGGATGGGTCACTAGGGCATCGCATTCCTTTAGAACCAGGAAGTTGGGATCCTGTTGCTCAAGTGTGTGTGCTTGGAATGCTCCCTTTTCCTCTCGATAGAATTGAGCAGAGGCAGGATTTGGAGGATTCAGAAAATAAGTCGATGTGAAGATTCCCCATGCTCGTCAGGGGGCTGGGGTTCAGTCCGCAAAGGAGCAGCTCAGAAGCGTTTGAACACCTGCTTGTCAGTGGTGTCCGATCGGAACTTTTAAAAGAGTTACTCACCCTTTTTTTGGTGCATTGCAACTTCTCATGAATGTAATCGTTCTCCATCATTCTAATGTCAAACATTCTTAAATTTTGGTCAAGATGTAACTTGAGAAAATAACCTGTGGAAAACTATCTGGCAGCAGCTTCTAGCTGTCCTGTTGGCTGATCTTTTGCAATGTGTTTAATAAATCTTTGTTCACTTTTAAAAAAGAAGAAAAGAAGAAAACCTGTCTCTTACCTTGCTTTTGTTTAAGACCTCACTGGCAGCATCCTAACTTGATCATAAAGTGGACATTGAAGTTTTTAATAAAAAGGGATGATTTTCCTTGACTGTGTAGTGCAATTAGTTTGTAAGTATTGACATTGAATGTAATGCTTTTTAATAGAAGTAACAAAATAGCAACTTAAAGGTGAGCATTGTAAGTAAATGTACATTGCCTTCCTTTTTGAAAGTTTGTTTTAGGGTATTCAGCTGCTCTCGTTTTTATTTGTGAGGAATATTTAAAATGCATTTGAAGTTAGTGCTTCGTTGATAATTTGCCAAGACCACAAGCAGGAGAGAAAAGTGATGCTCACTTATCCTTTGGTGGTCAGATAACATATACAATGTGCAATTTCCATACTTCCCCAACCTGCCTGGCTCCCCCTAATTTGCAGTCAGGGGAATTTACAGAAGTTGAAATAAAGCTGTGGCTTTCCAGTTTTTCTCTGTATTTAAGATACAGAGAAGCAATTTTGTAATCGAGCTTCACTTAGGTTTATTTGAGTTATTCAAGTGTTTTCTGAAAGGCATCATCAGATGAACAAGTTTATTATTCAGCCATGAATTTGATTTGTATACTTCCTTTGAAACTTGCATTGGCTAGAAATAAATTTCACCCTGTATTTTGAGACGTTAATGTGATTTGAGTTGACTTATTTACATGAAAGGCAGGCATGACTTTTTATACAATAGAATTTAACTTGGGTTTTCTCATCTTGTAAAAGGAGGATGATGATTGTATCAGCCTCATAGGACTGTTGAAACAAACACTTAGATGTGGTCTGGTTTTGCTAGTTTTATTATTACTAAGTTATAATGTTTAACGTTCTACCTTGTAGCGGTTTTATTAACAGAGTGGTTCCGCCCCCCCCCCCATCCCATCATATGTATCTGAGCAGAGAAAACAAGTTCTGAGCACAATGTATATTTAGAGAAAGGAGTTACATTGTATTTGAGGATCTTCAGAGAGAAAATAGCTGAGAATATGAATACAAAGTTGCTTAGTGCTCATTTTTCCTTGTTATGTAGAAGAGAAAGTATATGGCAGAGAATTTAGGGATAAATTTGACTTTATTTGCTTTTCCTTGAGATTGCCTTTTGAATTTAATGTAATTTCTAAACATACCCACAAATATTTAAATTCTGTGGAAACATATTTTAGTCATTTGCTTTTTATGAAGCAACCCAAACTACTCAAGTGCAAGTTGGCGATCAGGTTGTTAATGGTAATTGTAGGCTGAGCCTTCAGATAGCTGTGATTATTGGACATAGATTTGCCACAGTATTTGCAAGTTTTGTGGTGATAGATAATGTGGTGGATGTTATTAACCAGGAAGTAACTAACCAGCTTCTTTCACTGTTATTTCAAAGAGTCACCCTGGCATTCATATTTTCCATCAAGATAGTGGTAACAAGGATTATAATCCAGGTCCTCCAATTTTAGTAATGCATTATCTTTGTGATGGTCTCTTGAGGTTGTAAAAATGTTATATGTAGAAAGATTTGTTCTTAGTGTTAAAGGTACAAGTTTTAAATATGCTTTCATAATGCATGCTGTGCTCTGGTGAATTTCTCTGAGATTTAAGGAAATTCTCTGCAGATTGATAAATGCATGAAAATATAATAGTATATTTTTGTAATTTCTCCTATAAAACCAACAAAACTTTTTCTAATGGGGAGAAGAAGAAACCACAAACACTGAAGTTGTATTTATAGAAAACACATAGTTAAAAATGGGTACTGCTGCAGGGGTTTGCTTGTTTATATACTTTTGTAGACTTCATTTATGTGAAGAGTCCACTTTTTTCCTATGGAGTACAAGTAAATATGGCATTACCTTCTGAGTGGGTTAAACTCACCAGGTTGGAAGTTTAGTTTAATTTAAACTTTTTGGCTCTTAATTATTATTGTTGTTGATATCTTTGGAGCCACTATATTTCCCCTGATGTTATCTTTTATTGGAAAATAATTTTTTATTAGAACATGGAATTATAAGGTAAAAAGACATTAGGTTCTCTTACGAAGAGAAGGAAAATAAATTCCTACTCAGAAAATTTTTTGCCCTTACCATTCTAATGCTTTATTTTTCCTGTGTGTAAATGTCTTCCTTAGAAACAAGGGAAATTGATAATTCAGTTAAGTTCCTTCCCTTCTCTTCCTTGTCCCCTTCCACCTACCCCACGGGCCTTTTGTCCCTTCAGTGCCTTTCAAACTTGTCTTTTCACTATTTTCTGTTGAAACTGTCGTGACTCCTATTTTAATCATGGAGGATTTGATACATTCTTTCATAGTCTTGTTCTTTCTTGGCTGTCCCTCCTTCTGCCTCTGCTAGTGAGGCTTGTTTCAGCGAGTACATTGTAATGAAAATATTTCATGATACCATAAATTTGAACATGTGCTCCTTAATTTGTTAGTGAATGTTTGGTAATCAATGACATGAGACTGTCTTCAGTGAAAATGTTCTTTGTGAAATCTGATGTGTATAAATTTTGACTTAAAAACTTACATTTATGTTCCTGATACAAATATAATATTTTTGTTTACACAAATCATTTTTAGTCACATTATAGCCATACACTGCCTTAAAGTCCTATCCTATTTCTTGGCCCTTTTTAGAAATTGATCAGGGCTACCTTGTGGCATAGTAGCTGGTTGTTGCTTGGGATGCCCTCATATGGGAGCCCTTGTGTTCCAGTCCTGCCTCCGCTTCAGCCCAGCCTTTCTGCTAACCCTCTGAGGCAGCAGGTAGTAGAAGTTAGATCTTGTAGTTATATCCCTGCCACCCATGTGGCAGACCTGGATGGAGTTCCAGGCTCCAGGATTTAGCCTGGCCCAGCCCTGGCTGCTTAAGGCATTTGAGGAGTGAACCAGTAGGTGGAAGGTATTTTTTCTCTCTCTTTGCTTTTCAAATTAATTAATGAATTTAATTTTTTTTTTTGAAAAAAGAAACTGATTAGGACTGTCCCAGGCTCCTGACTACAGCATGCCTCGCCCTAAGTGACTGTACCTCCTCTGCATCTTCGTTCCCTGTCCCACCTTGAGTTGAACCACTGCTTCTCCTGCCATCATCTTCCCTCCATCACCACCCCCACTCAACCCTCCAACAACCTTTGCTCTTGGAAGTTTTCTTGCCTGTAATTGACTGTCCTCCTTAAAAGTTTAAGCATTTTTATGTAGTTCCTTAACCTGTCCTTAAAAGATATTTCATGAGGTCTCCAGCAATTATTGTCTTAATTGCTGAGGTTCTGCTGCATACTTCTTGGTTTCCATAGCACTCTAAATATACCTTTGTCTTGTTTAGCACATAATTAATATAAGCTCCTTGTGATGAGATCTTTTTATGTTTGGAACCTCTTTGCTCACACTGGGACCTGGTACACTGTAGATGTTTAGTAAAATTAGTTCAGCTAGAAAGATAAAAGCATGCCTAAAAATATCTGCCACTGCAATTTTAGAGAAATTGTTTGCTGATCATGTAAGTGTATTTGCATGCTTCCATAAACAAATATGACAATCTTGGAAAAGGATGCATTGGAAAGTTTCTTCTAGTACATAAAAGTTGTATTTACACAATTTTAACTTTTTTCATAACTACATCTAGTGCATAAAGCATTTTAGATGGAGTAACCTAACTATGTGACCTCTACATTGTCCTGTTTCAGTCTTGAAAATGGGACCCCTTTTGACTGCCTTAAAAATTTCTTTATTTTGCTTAAAATTAAATTATAAACTTAAATTATGTTAATCAAAATCAGTTGCAATCACAATATTGAAAATATATTTTTCAGTGGAATGTTTCTCACTTTTTTATTCCCTGTTACTCACTGCACCAAGGCCTGATATGAGAAGAGAATTTTAACTTATTCAGGTGTT